GTTTTGCCGCGGTCGCGGTGGAACCGCGGCCAAACATGCCCTCTGATTCTTCAGTTGTCCGCGACCATCTTCTACCGCGGTTCTGCCGCGGTCACGGCAAAACCGCGGTTTTTCACCCTGTTCCGTTTGGAATTTGGAAAAACGTAAAACATGAAAGTTGTAGCCCTTTGAGTTAGCTTTCCAACCATATATTGTGGAGCCCAAATGGAGTTCTGAGCAAAAAGTTATGTCTATTTTACTAGACAGTGTGCAATATGTCTCCTCAAGCCTTCGTTCGTACTTAATTATCAAATTTGACCCCCGAACACGATCCCGGCTTAATTCCTTGAGCTTTTACTCAGACTTCAAAGCTTCAAATCACTTAAATTCATTCCATAACATCTATATAGCTCGGAATCACACCTACAAGGCATAAAACACACAATTAGTGCAAAACACTAGCGATTAAAGCGCAAACTCAATTAAAGTGCAGTAAATTCGAGTGTAATAAGCGACTAAAATATGCAATTATAGCCTATCATCAATAACTAACATCAGCATTACTAATACATCATACTCAACATTATTCTTATACACTCTACCAAACGACCCAAAGCTGTCCTAACTCCTAACTATCTGATAGAGTGAACGGCTTACTCAAGAAGAAGCTGTGGGAAAAAATTATACTCAACCAAAGAAGTGCTATGCAACTCAACAGAAGGTTCTGATGAGAAAATATTGAAAGAGGTTACATAACTAATCTTTTGGGGCTGGATTGCCTAACATTTATCCCAACCAAAGTTATAAAAAATAAAAAATAAAAAATAAAAAATAAGAAAACTGTCCTTGAGTCAGATAATTCTCCCTTTGGTTAAAAAGATGTTCATTGTTCAAACTCTGTGACATTTTGGCAAAAGGAATTAATGAGGTGCATGTAACAAGTCAGTATTTCTTTTCTAGAAGAATCAATACATCTAACTGAACTAATATTACATATTTTGTAGCTGCAGGGAGTACAATTTTCAGACAATAATCTAATAATAAAAGTACCATTGTTTTGTACTCAATGAATCTTATACCACGAAAAGGGGGACATAACTCATAAGCATTACTAGAGGAATATCTTACTCGACAAAACCTTTTGTGTTTTGAACTAGATAAATTAGTTAATCAATTCAGTTGAAGAATACAATAGGAATGTTAGATAGCCCATAATTATATATCGTTTTTATTACATTAATAACATAAAAATCTGTTCTTCCTTTGTTCAAAGTTCATTATTTATTTTCTTTTTAATTTAATTTAGCATCGCTACTTTTGGGTTTAATCCTTGTTTAGATAATTAGAATAGTCGGATCTAATTAATAGTTGATAGCAAGTCATCGTGGGTTCGGCACTCAATCTTATCACTTTATTACTTGACGATTGCGTATACTTGCGTGTACTTTTTACATTAATTGACGATCACGTATATTTGCATGTGCGTTTGACCGCAACATGCTCCCAGGCTCCTGGCCAATACTTGTGAAATGGGCTCATGCTTATAGAAATAAATAGGATGGACCCCACGACCTTGTTGAATCATCCTTAGATGGTGGAAATATAGATGCTATTATATATATATATATATATATATATATATATATATATATATATATATATATATATATATATCGCACGGGCCCGCTCTTTTTTCTTTTAATATTTCTTGGTCTATTACTAATCACACATTTTTTGCCTTTAGGGAAAGAAGAAAAGATGTAGGCTTTTGTGTAACAACATATAAAATCACTATTACTTGTGTTATTTATCTTTTGTGTTATGTGAAATTTCTCAAATCGTATTACTATACCAATCACTTTGTAATACTTGTCGAAGTTTGACACTTTATTATACAAAAATTAAACAAAACTTCAAGTACAATTTAGAGTATTTCTACGTAGGTTCTACACTTTTTTATTTTAGAAAAGTTCTGCACAACCAAACTCAAAATTGATTATAAAAAATGATTAAAAAATCAGTTGAAAAATAAGTCGTGGTGTATTTTCTCATTGTTTAAATTGAATTATATATAATTTTACTCTTTTGTTATTTCAATTGTGTTAATGTATTGCTTTATTTTATGCTTACTAAATCTTGAATAATAAAACATATTAATTTTTTCCCCAAATAGTTGAAAAAGGTGTTTTTTTGTTCTTTAAAATAGTAATCGTAATTTTTAAATATTAAGAATTTTTTAACAATAAAATTTGTATTTATTCTAGTTTAATGACATATCTAAATAATTTATTAAAAATAAATTAATCACTCTAAATACTAATCAAATTTACCTTAAATTGAAGCGTTATCGTTTTTTTCATTTGATTTGATTGGGATACAAATTAGGGTGTAATACAACTCTCTTCACCATAATTCTTTGTTGAGCCTTTTTAAAAATAGTTAATTGTATATCTATGTATTTTAAAATTTATATAATGTTGAATTCTTATTGAACACGAAGGGAATACCTAACTAAATGATTATATAGAGGGAGAGATATAATCATGCATAGTGATACTTCTTATGTTGCATAATGTATAATGCTTTTTAACAGAAAAAAATTCACAAATTTCTCTTGGTTTTTAGTTTAGATTATTATTGAATAATGTATTAGAGCGGAAATCCTTTTAATACAATTTGAACAAATTCTAATATTTTGTTCTTAAATAGTTTTTTGCTAATTTTATAAAGTATTTCAATTTTTAATTTGCAATTTAATCAAAACCTTTATAAAATGATACCAATTGATAACAATATAAGAACATCTGAAATATAAATCTACATAAATTATCGTCAATTCTTTTCTATAAAATCTTCTTTACCTAAATAGTCAATAAATGTAAAAAAATGAAAGGAGATAATATAATTGTTATATTTTAATGTGTTACCGTAATATACTTTTAATTTGACGAATGTTTGAATTATAAAATTATCAAGAAGATAATTTTTCTAGTTAAAAGTTCTTATTGAAAAAATATTTTTTTACACAGTGAAGGAGAGAAGTAATATGTTTTCAAACAAATTGGAGAGTAACAATAATAAGTAGTGCATTTAAAGAAGATAGTGAAAGTTGAATGAGAAGTGGGGTCCACCGTCCACCTGAAGAACTCAATAGCATAGGCCATGTTATTTTGGTTTTATCTGTCGTTAAAAACACACAACCAAACTTTTGAGCCTATATACAAGCAAATAATACAACAATATCTTTGAAATAACCATGATGCCCTTGGTCGACCTCCTCTTCTCTTTTCTAGTATATAATATAATAGAAAATATCGTCAATTCTTTTTTATAAAATCTTCTTTACCTAAATAGTCAATAAATGTCAAAAAATGAAAGAAGATAATATAATTGTTATATATTAATGTGTTACCGTAGTATACTTTTAATTTAATGAATGTTTGAATTATAAATTATCAAGAAGATAATTTTTCTAGTTAAAAGTTCTTATTGAAATAACATTTTTTCAAACAAATTGGAGAATAACAATAATTAAATAGCGGAGTGCATTTAAAGAAGATAGGGAAGTTTGAATGAGAAATGGGGTCCACCTGAAGAACTCAATAGCATAGGGCCATGTTATTTTTGGTTTTATCTGTCATTAAAAGCACACAATCTAAGCTTTTGAGCCTATTATACAAGCAAACAATACAGCAATATCTTGAAATGACCATGATGCCCTTGGTCGACCTCCTCTTCTCTTTTCTAGATATCTCTTTTCTAGATAATATATAATATATAATAATAGAAAAATCGGAAATAGAAATATTCAACACATGACTGGGGCTCACTGCCGACGGGCGTGGCATCCTCAATCATTCGTTAACGGGTGGTTTTGTTGAATTCATAAATAAGTACTAGTAATTATTATGATTTGTTTGGTGCATCATATTAAAATAAGTAGTAGTATATATATAATATATAACTAAAAATATGTGTTTTATTTTAATTTTTAAAATTTTTATTTTCAGTTTTGACATTAAGTAGGAATCTGATAATATTTTGGCAGAAGGGCAATTTTACCATTTTATTTGTCTTATCAATATAATTAATCATTGAATTGTTATCTATCTTCTACCATTGAATGTTGCATAAATTTATATCAAAACTCGAATATAAAATTTTACTCTTAGTACTTTAAAAATAAGTAAACGATCCCTAGCTCCCAAATTTATTGGTTACATACATCTTGAGAGGTCGTCGTTTAGTACTGGGGATAAAATAATAATTTCGGGATAGAATTTGAGATTGTATTTGTTCCATGTTTAAATATATACTTATATGTATAAGCTAATTCCAAGATAAATTTCATACTAAAATAGTAAGATTATTTATCTCACATAAAAAAAAAAGGTGGAAAATTAACTCAATTAGTCGCCCACCTAACCATTTAAATTAAAAATACCCGACAGAAGTATAATATATGCATAATTTTTATATTATATACTCCTTCTGTTTCAGTTTATGTGAACCTATTTCCTTTTTTGTCCGCTCCAAAAAGAATGACCCATGTTTAAATTTGGAAACAATTTAGCTTAAATTTCCAACTCTACCCTTAATGAGAAGCATTTATAACCACACAAATAATCTGGACCCCTTTTTAACTTGTTTAGGATCACAAATTTTCTTCATTTTTTTTAAACTCCGTGCCCAGTCAAACAGGTTCACATTAGTTGGAACGGAGAGAGCATATATGTATGTATAAACTATATATATGACTAGGAAAAGTAAATAATAAATATGACCGTCTATTTATGTAAAGATCCCAAAGGTAATTCTATGGGATATCCTGATTTATCCTACCATTGTACCAAACAACCTTACGATAATTTCGACACAGTTTCTCTTTTAGTTGATGATTATTGTAAGGTTGAAAGTGTAAGGTGAAGCTAAAGCTAGTGAGTAAGATACGAGTTCAATTAAACCCAGTAATTTATTAACCTAAATTATTAATACAGAACTCAAATAACTATAAAAAAAAAAAAATAGATTTGATGCTTCAATCCTAGCTCCGCCATTAAACCATGGTAAGAGCAGAAGCTTCCCTGGTAACTGTTGAAATCTTTCTTGTTCGTCGTTTCATATACTATTCTAGATTTTAGTTACTACTTAATATTCTTGTTCGTCGTGACCATTTTCCTCATTGACTCCTCTTTCCTAAATATCTCTTCCACTGTCATTTTCCTAAAGAATCTATACACTTTCTTGTATTTCTGACGTTTGTCTCCTTCTTAAGACCAAATTTTTATCTTCTTCAATCTTCACACCTCAACTAATATGAACGTAGCATTTCTAGTCCCACCTCCCATTTTATAAGCCAACTACAGCTAAATCTTCCATCTTCATCTTTTCCCTTTCTACTCTCTTCTTTCACACCTATTTAGTTTTCATTCTCAGAAAATTTATATATAACACCAGAAATTTCCTTTCTGGGTTTATTCTTAAAACCCAAAATTCTGGGTTTTACTTGCCTTGATAATACTTCTTTAGGTTTTTGATTTCAGTTGTCAGATCCTAATTAAACCTCAAAAATCTTCCATTATTCCTTTTTTGTCCTTTGTTGCTTGTAGCAGCACCAACGAAAAATTCCAGTTTGTTCTTGTTTCAGGTTCTTAAAATAATTGTCTGAAAATGGAAGATGCTACACACACACCTGGTAAAGTAGACGAGTCAGGTATGTTTGAGCTCACTGGAAAAATCATGGTCGTAGCAATTGTACTTATTTTTCTTGTGGTAGTCTTCGTTTTCTTATTCTACTTTTACTCAAAATGGTTTTGGAACCGCCGTCGTCAAGCAGACGGCGGCAACCCTAACGCCAGCACACGGCGGCGGCGCGGCTTCAACTTCTCTTCAGCCGGTCATCATCAAGAAGTGAATAATGTTACATCCGCTCTCCGCCGGGGTCTGGACCCCACTCTTCTTAAAACTATTCCCGTAGTTTTATTCAATCCTAAAGAATTTAAAGATGGATTAGAATGTGCTGTTTGTCTTTGTGATGTTTCTGAAGGTGAAAAGGCAAGACTTTTGCCTAAATGTAATCATGGATTTCACGTGGATTGTATTGATATGTGGTTTCAATGTCATTCCACTTGCCCTCTGTGTAGAAATCCTGTTTCCAATATATCTTCTGATGATCAGAATCCCACCTCTGCTGTGGAAGAAGAGAATTTAGTTTCTATAGAGGTGGCAAATTTCCCGACTAATATCTTGTTTTGGGGAAATGAGACTCAAGTGAGCAGTTTGGAGGACTCTTTACAAGGTCCTAATTCTTCTTCTAACGCGCCTTGTCCTCCACCACCACCACCATCGTCATCATCCTTGTCGTCCTCATTTGCCTCTACGAGTGATAGGCGTTGTGTAACATTGGTGATTGATATTCCAAGGCAGACAAATGAAGCAGAAGATGAACAGAAATCTCCAATAATGTCCACAAGATTGAGGTCTTTGAAAAGGCTCTTGAGTAGGGATAGGAGGGTTAATCCTTCTAGTCCGAGAATTGTGGATGTAGAACAAGGAGTCAGAGGCCAGAGCTAGTAGACAACAACAACAACCCAGTATAATCCCACAAGTGAGGTCTGAAGACGTTAGTATGTATGCAAACCTTACCCTTACCCTGGGGGTAGAGAGGTTGTTTCCGGTAGACCCTCGGCACAAGATAGCCAGAGCTAGTAGGAATTTATAAATATGGATATGTGATATTAGCTTCGATATTTTCTGATGTTTGCTATAGAATTTGGGGATGAATGGTATCTCCAGAACTCTCATTCATTTGTTTAAAGTTTTTGATTCTTGATGTAGATGTAAAGATTGAAACTTTCATCTGCATATAGGCAGTGAATATATTGTATATGTGTAAACAATGCAGTGGGCCTCTCTGTTTGAGAATGAAGCAATCTTTCTCTTACAGAAGAGTAATTTCAGTTATTTCTATGACTGTTTGTATTTTCTGGCTGCTACAATGATCACATTTTGAGCTTTCTTTCTTCATATGAATTTGGTCTGTTTCGGCAAATCACTTCTAAATTTATGCGGTGGAAAGTTATGGCTGAAGGCTTACCATTTTGGACGTCAGATCTAAGATCACATTGTATTTGGCCTAAAATACATGGATTAGTTGTGATAAGAATAACCTTGAGCCTAACTTAATCTCTAAAGCTAGTTCACGAGGCGAGAATTGTCCATTGAAACTAGCTCATGAGGCGAGGATTGTCCAAGATAATATAAAGAGGCAAATAATCTCATCCCACTTCGATGTGAGAATCTAACAATTAGAATGTCTTGTTTGTCTATGTGAAGTCTGTGAGGGTAAAAAAGGCAAGCTTTTCACCAAAAAAGAATCTAACAAATAGAATGTGTTGTTTGTCTTTGCGTAGTTTCAATCGCATTTATTGGTTTGGTGATTATTGCTGCATGACTATTTTATGGGAAATTAGATCCTCTTCTAAACTTGCATTTTACCAAATCTTATTGTAACCACAACAGATTGCAAGGGTATTCTTTCAATTGTCGAACAAAAATATGCCTCCAGTACTCCTACATAGTTTAGGTTCAAATATTCAATGTAGTGGTACATACTAAGGGTGTTAAACGGGTGAGTCGGGCCGGGCTGGGTTTGCTTTTTTTGGACCCGTACGGGTTATGGTCCGGACTGGTTACGGGTTGGGGCTTAACGGGTTCAGGTTCATCCGGATAAAAATTGAACCGTAAGGGTTACGGGTTGAGGGGGCCGGGCCGGGCCGGGTTTAGTGTATTTTTTAATTTTTTTTTTGTATTTTGTATAACTATTGTAAGTTATATTAATACTTTGTATTAATATAAAGAATACAAGGAAGATGGGGAAAAATTGCACTTATAAATTGCAAGTGCTACAGTTTTTTCAAAATTACAAAATTAAAGTTTGCATTTAAAAAGTAAATTAATATCTTATGTATTTTTATTGTGTACTAAAATATATTTAATGCCTATCTTATGTATTTTTACATTGTATCAAGTTGTTTATTTGATGTATATTTATGATTTGAGCATTTATACCCTAAATATATACACTATATTTTTTATAACCTAGGATCCGGTATTTTACCTTATATAATACTCCTATATGATTTAAATTATATTTCTTTCATTTTAAATACGTATAAAATATATACGCAAGGTATAATCAAGACTTGTAAAATATATACTCAAAGCAATTTCCACTGTAAAACATACAAAAAAGTGACAAAAGTATTCCACTATTATTACATGTATCATACTTGCAAATTATGTGTAAGATATATATGTTAAATTCCAATAATTTTAAATTATGTTAATTAGTATACAATAATTGGTATATTCATGGTATGTGTAAGATATAAAATATTTATACTAGAATATACCACTATTATGTTTTTAAAAATTAGACAGGTATGTAAAGCTCCAAAAAAAAAATTAAAAAAAAAATTTACCCATTAAACCGGGCCGGGCCGGGCCGAGCCGGTTTAACGGCATTGTTCATCTAACGGGTTGTACCGGTCGGGGTAACCGGTATTTAAAAAGTAAACGGAACAACCCACGCGGCCCCCCTAACCCAGCCCAGCCCCTTTAATCGGGCCGGGCCGGTTCAGTTTTAACCGGTCTGGGCCGGTCCGGAACCGGGCTGACCCGGCCCGTCTAACACCTATAGTACATACACACTGCACTTTATGCTCTCCTTTTTCCCCCTTGTATTATACTAGTATTTTGGGATGCTAATTCACATTTTCACGTTTAAACAAGTACTAGGACGACTGATCAACCTCCGAAGGAAAAGAAAGCACTAATACAGAACATATTTTAAGGGAAGTACCTAGATTAGTAAACTGCATTCCTGAACAAGCTCGAGAAACAACAGCAAGTTGACCTCGCGATAAACGTACCTCCTACCCGCCAAAAAAGGAACCAATGAAGGATAAACAGACACCATTTGCAACTCTGAGCCCTTCACTATTACCACACAGAATTTCATATTTTAAGTGACAAGACTACAAAAGTAGAAAAGGAAAACCCATCAGCTAGACTAAGAGATCAGTTTGATCTCCACTAGGCCTATACATTCTTGAGAAGTATAAGAAAACCCTACAAATATTTTGGACTTCTCAGTAATAACCCAGATAAGGATTACCCAACCACAGATTTCGGATGCTTTGTTCTATAGCGTAGTGCAATAATACATTTCCTGCCTAATGGAACTCACCATCAAAGCTGAAGTAAAGGCAGAGCCATTACAACGCCAAAAACTGATACTAGCAACAACAATAACCAAGTTGGGCAAGATTTCCTCTGTTGGTTTTTCACGTCTTTATGGGGCTCTGCTTTATTCAGACCATCCAACAAGGGTGTAGAATTTGATGCTTGAGTTGGCATGGTTGAAACCTGCTCCTGAGCAGGATGCACCAGGAGCTGCTGCTCTTCATACTTCTCCACATATTCTGGAAACAATTTTCTAAAGGTTGGGCTGTCATAAAAATAATTAGTAAGTCAACTGGGATCAAATAAAAGGCGCAGTTAAAACAATTGACAACATTGTGAAACTAGTAGCTCAATTTTTCACGCAACAGATCTTGTACTGCAGGAACTATACACTTAAGGCAATCTGAAACAAATAAAAGGTATGCAGCAGGGAACTCGCAGTTGACTCACTTTTTACAATTGAAAGCAAGTGAAGCCTTAGCAAGCTTCTGTTTTTCAGCAACTGTTGTTGTTACACTGCCTGTGGTAGGACTGTTGTCCATCTGCAGGAAATGCATGGGTAGACATAAAAGTTACCATTAATGCAAATGAATGCTTCCCAAAGCAAAAAGAGATTGTAAACAAAGGAATTATGGAAGATTATTTCATGGATATAGCACCACCATGCATTGTGGATAATGCAGGCCTAATATGGAAATTTACACAAAGAGGGACAGAGACAGAAGAATGTAAAACTGTCATGAAAATGAACATGAACTAAACGAAAGAGCACAGCCCAGAAAATAATTAGTGATGAGAATGCAGATCCTTTGCATTCTATGATTTGCAGGAACTTTACCATAAATGAGAGCAGTCCCGTGAGTATGCTGCACGGAAAATAGAGGAAATCAGTTCAAATGGAAAAAAGAATTAGACAGTCAATATAATTACTGTAAGCATGTTCCTCTTTATCAAAAAATTAAGAGGACATGCTTTCGCTATTTTGTTCTGAAAACTAATCAGAAAAATCTTTGGAATCATATTTTAGTTATAAAAAAATAATAACAAAAAAGTAGAAACAAGTTTGGTAAGCAGATAAAGTTCTTCCAACAAATTTTACTGAAGAGTAGCCCCCAAGGGCCTTTGGTCTAGTGGGCTGTAGACAAAAGTCTAGTATTTAAGTGGAGAAGGGTAAAGAGGGGGGCCGTTATCCACCGAATTTCAAACATTGCGCCACTGGCCCTCGGGGATCTCTCGGTTATCAAAAAAAAGTTGACTGAAAGCAGAGCCATGGAGGAAGAAAACAATGGGAAACGGTGGGGGTGAAGGGGATGCCTAGGTTGAGGCTTTTTATGGGCAGAAGTGAGGCGAGAACTGCGGTGAAAAGAGAGAAGTGGTTCTGAAAAGCAAATGTTTCGTCTCTTATCTTTAATTTATTTTTATTCCTTTAACGTTGAATACCAAATATTTTACAAGTTATACACCTCTTTCTAATAAGTAGGAAGAGGTGAAACACAATTTTTTATTATAAAACAGGTTTTATTCAATTCAAAAGATGTCCCTTATTCTCATATTCTCAGAGAAAATTAAAGTTCTTGTACCATATAGGCCCTAAAGCAACTATTTCCAGACAAATCACCATACTTTTTTTTTTCGATAAGTATATAGTAATTTATTACCTTGACACAGACCACATAGGGTTCCAACTCTCTGGGTGAACTGTGAAGCAATAAATATGCCAATTGAAGGTCAGGAACATGTAATCCTCTCAAAGCAACAAGCAATTGTAACTACAATGCAACTCCAAAAACACTTACAGTCACTCATAGATAAACAGATTTTCTTTTGCGTCATAAATCTTCCATTTGGAGTAACCATGCTACAGACGAAGCAAACATAGTTGAGGTGATTCCAAAAAGGAAAAAAAAATACAAAAAGGAAAGCCTTATAGACACACATTGCTAAAAGAGAAACGAGTCTGGGAATATCAAACTGATCTGAACTTAGATTACCTGATTCCTGGAGGTTTAAATGGATATTCTGGAGGAAACTTAATCTTCCCATAATAATATCCACCTTATTATTGGAGTTGGCGGCATTTCACAAGAAACAACCACAAGAGCAAGAATAACTCAGAGAAAAATGACAAAAGTATTCAGAGGTGACAAAAAGATAGTCAAAGCAGGGTCTAGGAAGAAGACCGCATCACCTAACAGTATTAGTTCATTGCACAATAAATACCAAAGTTAGAGAAAGTAGAAACCTGCAAAGGGTGTTCCTTCACTCCCCTCCAACACGTAATCTGGACATGAGATTTAGGTAAAAGTAGGAATATTAGGAAAAGCAGGTAATGAGTTATCTGATGAAAAGAATCTAAAAGGAGATCACTACTGGCAAATAAGCCTACTAAAACAATATGTATTAGAAGAAGAGCATCAGATTACATGCCAATTTCATTCCTAATCAGACTGCATTATCGACAGTGCATTTAGGTGATTCAAGCCAAGTTCATTCCTTATTAGACTGCATAACCAACAGTGTGTTTAGATGCATGGCACACAAAGAAGAAGAAACAAATATTCATGCAGAGGAGGTATCAAGAGGAAAAGGAACAAAAATAGGCCTACTTATAAAAAAAAGAAAGTTCATATAATTCTAAAGGTTTAACCGAATATATTGAGAAATACAGGTATAGAGAACAAGCAGTAGGGACTTACGCCACTCAAGAATATCATTTGGAGAAGGGCGGGCTACAACATGGGAGACAGGTTCCTGCAATATAACAAGCTTCG